CATTTTACCTTGGGCCGGCCCTGGCCACCATAGAGAGACAACCATAGAGTCTTTGTTCCTCTTCTCCGTTGTTTCTAACCGCCGGTCCTCCGTTGAAGCCATCGTCTATCACCAACACTTCTTTTCTATATGTTCTCTCTAATTTCTCAACGCCGGTAAGTTAGGAGCAAACTGGGATGGCCCCTATCAAATCTCGAAGGTCGTTCATCCAAGCGACAATGAGCTCCTCACTATGAACGGCGTCGAAGTCCATCGCACTTGGAACTCCAATAATCGGCATCGAAGGCCTTTCCGATGCCTCCCTATGTAATAAGAACTACGAACTGCTTGTGTAGCATTAATGATACGGACCAAAATTTAAGTTGACGCCCTGGCCCGACATTCGTATAGGTGAACTAGGCGGTTCAAAGCCATGGTCGCCTATCATCCAAGAAGAATAAAGAGACGATTAAAACACGCCTGAACAAAACCAAACGAGCACATGCAAAGAAAAAGAATAACACTTACCTTGCAGGACTTCTTGGCCACCTCCGTGAACGCGTCCCTTTCTTTCAGGTCATCAAGCAAAGGAAAAGTCCCTGAACCATCCCTAATCCCGCTGAAGAACTTCACGTATTCTTCGGCATTGGACGCAAAGGAAACTCCCTCTCGATACTCCCAACGATAGTCGACGACCCTTTCTATCTTTAGAATGACAGGAAGACCCTCAAAGGCATTGTTTTTTCTGATTCGGCGTTGTTGTTGGATTGGTATGAACAACCAAAGATCCAGGTTTGGTAGCCTGAGGGGTTGCTTCAGAACGACCGCTTCCATCAGCTTGCTTGGTCAGCTTGGCCGCAGCCACTTCCCTCTTCTTTTCCTATTCAGAAGAAGAACTTAAGGGTCTCGAGCTGCCAGCTTGTAGCGAATGACGTCCTCCTCGATCCAGCTGACTTTCTCAAAGCCTCCTTCATCTGTTTATCCTCTGAGCGAGATGGCCTCAGAGTCTCGGAAGCCGGCCTCTTCTTTCCTCGAGTAATCTGGAATGACTTCAAGGTTAATCTTCCCCATTGTCTTAGGATTCTCTACAACAAGGACGACCACTATAAGATGACCCGACTCAAAGAACGAAGGAAACAAAGAATAAGACCGAATAAATATGCTTACCTGGTTTTGATTTCTCGGACGCCGACCTGACGTATGGTCCCACTTTGTAGATCTTCTTAAGATCGTCTTTGAGATCATAGGTAACTGTAATAAAAAAAAAAAGAAGAAAAAAGGGGGACGGTTAGAAATTGCAAATGACACGCTTACGAATAAAAACAATTTCTAAAGGCTGAGCTCAGGCTACCGGCTGAAGTTTTCCACTTAGTGTTACATAGTGTGAGTTCAAATTAACCAAGCTTGCATTATGTTTCGGAAAAGCTTGCGCTTACGTCTTGCAGTGATGATGTTTCAGATCTCTCTATCGATGAGCTTGAAGATTGTTGAGGCTGGGATAAAGACTCACACTTGACATACTATATCTTCCATCAGCAACTGTATACCCATAAATCAAACACAAATCACTAAAATTTAACACCGGTTTCGTCTTAAAAACACGCGCTTCAGGATGAGCCTTTAAAAATCACAAAGTCTGAATCACATAATCAAAATTCCAAACAAAAAAAATGTAGAAATCTGATTTTGAAACCTTAAGATACAAACTCCATAAGCTCTCATCTCCAATCACAGTTTGATGAGTCTGATCCCAAACAAAACCACCATGATCAAGAAGACACTTCGCATCATTATATTGTTTCTAAAGATTCGTATACCGACTTTTAAACACGTCTTTATCGTACTGTGACCCAAATTTTGAAAGTGTGAACGGTTCTGTTTCCTCTGTGTAAATGCTCTAACATAAGATCTATAAATAATTGTTCCATTGTTGGAGTCAAACACGTTCTTGTTCAATCATTGCAAGTGATTTGACCACTCATCCTCGAAGTGAGAAAACACAACGATTTTTATATATTTTCACACGTATGAATATTCAATTCTTTCAGTGGGTATAGGGTTCTGCTAGCTGTAGCGATTGCAAAGGAACTGGGTTTCGTGCCAAGTGGTTGGAAAAGCCTCCAGTGCCAACATAATTGATGAACAAAAGCAAGTTAAGTTTTTTGGTCTTTGATGATTACTTATGGAGCAAAAATGTTTATATGTTGATTCAAGTGGAATATGAATCAGATATGCATATATCTTTATAAATGTGTTATGTATGTGTTAATGTGTGTTCATTTATTAATTTTCCCTTGTTCTGTTTGTACAACCAAAGGCTACACAAGAGTTTTTGTAATCATTACACGTGAGTTTTACGATTTCGAACATTAGAGTAGCTCAATGGAAAAAAATTAGTAGCACATGATCGCCTTCGTATTTCTTGTGACCTTTTCATGTGGTAGTGTTAAATCATGTGCATCTTCATTACCCTCGCTGAATCTGGATGTGGAGTTTCTGGAATAGAACTGCGATTATCATCATTCTAAAAATAATTTCTACCTAACATATCCAACTTAAGCTAGTTAGTTACCTAATAGTTTTCTTTAGGGAAACCATATATGAAAATGGCATTTCATGTCATAATCGTAAATAATAGATTCGTTGAACCTTACACAATTAGATGCATTTTTTCTATACCAATTTGTGTTATATCTTTGTATAACATGTAACTAAATTTAGTTTTCAAGGAGTATAAACAATTGTAATATAATTTATTAATCTTTGGTTACTTTAATAATGGAAAATAGAAAACCTTCTTTTAAATCGTACATGATTGAGATCAACAAGAGGATTTTCTAGATGCCTACTATAATCGAAATATCGATTACAGTGATTTAGAAAATAAAATATTGTTTCAAGTTCTCATAATGACAGAGCCGTACCTGACCACATTACCATGAAACATAGCAATGGACCCCTATTTTCATGTGAGCAATGTCATACAGGAGGCACGCATAACAATTTAACTCTTAAACCATAGTTAAATCATTTAACTTAAATGTTTGATTTCTAGTGTTCCGATTGGACAATTTGAATTTGCTTAGTTCCTATATATTGCCTATTGAGATTAGTTTGTGTTTGTTTAACCTTTATCGTTTGTGATACCTGTTATGTCGTGTTTTTGGTGTCTTGAGTCCTCTGTTTAGTCCTTGCTTTGAGTCGTTTATCGCATCGTTGTCAGTCATTTGCGTCTCTTTGGTTTTGTCTTGATTCTTTTATAGGTTCTAGATGCTTGTGCGGGATTTGAAGGTTTTCATGCATAATTGGACTTGTTCGGGCCAAAAGACGATAGCGAGAAGAAGAGGTTGACCAGTAGTGATCGATCCCAAATCTTGACATAAATATCCTAGACCTAATTTCTTTATTCAAGTTTGCTTCTGCAATTTTTCTGAGATCACTTTTGTAAGCTATTACACTTTGGATTAGAGGTTCATCCTTCTTGAAAATTTGGAGAAGATTTCTAAATTTTTTTCTTATCTATTCAATCGAATTATGTTTTCTCTTATATCTGTTTGTGTTATTTTTTTTGCCATGAGTGAGATACTCTTAGTTGGGTTTTAGGGTTATAAGTAGAAGAGTCAATGTATTGGTGAATAGGAATTCTTATTCATAGGTTCTTCCATCTACGTGTTCTTAATGGTAGAATATGATTGATCTCCCTGTTTTAGAACATTGGTTTTTCTATGCATCAAAAGTGTTTGATAGAATGCATGAACCAATGTGAATTGAGCAATGTGTTTCTAGCCAATGAGAGTTAACGTTGGAATACATTATGAACCAATTCGATAATGTGAATTTGATTAGGAAACTACAAATGAAAGTTTAGTAGACTAGTAGTCGAATTTAATGATTAATATCTTGAGAGAGAGTTAGTCTATATTTGTGTTCATGTTTGAGAACGGTGCTTTATTTCTGAATTCCCTATTAGATCTATACAGCTAGTCATTGCTTTTTGAAATACCCTAACGCCCAATGCCTTAATTGATAAGTTTAATCATTTAATTTACTTGTATTTTTATTTACAAATTGAGAAAACCAAACAAATAACCTTTCAGATTTATCTAAGAAAGAGTCTAGGAAATTTTTAGGGTATCTTTCGTCCTTGATGATCGACCTCGAATATCTTACCTAACGGTTAAGTATATTGAGTAATTACTCAAGCAATCAAATTGGCGCAGTTGTCGGGGACTAATTGCGTTACCTAAGGATTTTTGATTAGTTTTTAGTTTAGAGCATTTTTATTTATTGTTACTGATTATCATTTTTGTTTTTTTTGGGTGTTTTTAGGTGAATGACCCGTAGCGAAGGCTCATCAAATCTATAGGAATACTAGGATGATATAAGAAAGTCTAAAAGAGCGAATAAGAGAAAGAAGAAGTTAGCTAAGGAGAGAGAAGCTGAAATGGCTGATTACGACACTGCTGAATACCTTTTGAAAGAAGATGGACTCCCACTTGCTGGAGATAATCATGGAGTGTTTCAGGACCCACCACCTCCAGGAAACATTAATCGTCTTGTTGTTGGTGGAAACGCTGCCCGTGCAGCTACAAAACGTATGGCTGTTGCTATTCCCGCTCCTTTAAATGTGTTGAATACAAGGCCAACGTTGAATACAAGGCATGCGCTTGTTCGACAAACGCTGAGAGATCATAATGCTCCTAATGATGAGCTTTTTCGAGACATGAACCAACATCTTCCAATCAACATGAATGATTTTGAGATCAAGACTGGGTTACTGTCTCTTGTGAAGCAGAATAAGTTCTATGGTCTTTCCTCAGAAATTCCAATCTACCATTTCAATAACTTTGAGGACATATGTGGCACAACAAGGATGAATGGAGTGCCTGATGATCTTATCAAGTGCACGTTGTTCTCATTCTCCTTGGCGGACAAGGCTCATCACTGATTGAAATCTTTGAACGTTTAGAATCTGAGAAGCTGCATTTTTGTCATAGTATTTCACCCAATCTAGAACAACCATTTTGAGGAATAAGATCTCCTCTAGGAAGCTTGGGAGCGGTTCAACGATTACTACAGGGAATGCCCCCACCATAGGTTTTCATATGCCACATTGATCAACACCATTTATAGGGGAGTCGATAAGGACTACAAGATAGCACTAGACACTGCTAGAAATGGGGACTTTATGACCAAGGCTGAGGAGGAAGCTACATTGCTGATTGAGAATATTGCAGCTAGCAATAACAACCACGATGTTGACTATGACAGGTCGCATAGAGGTGGTGAGGGAGGAGAATCGAAACAGATTGTTGAGATATCAGCTATGGTTGAGCAGCTCCTCAGAAGAGATCAGCAGGTTGTTAACTTATGTGATGATAATGGCGAAGCTCAGGGATACCAGAAGTTTAGTGGAGACGGTTCAAAAGATCTTCAAGCTGAGTTGAACTACATCAATGGTCAGGAAAAATACCAGAACATGGTGTTTAATCAGAACTACATGAATCATCCTAACCTCTCTTATAGGAGCACCAATGTGGAGAATCCTTAGGATCAGGTATACCCAGCATAGACAGGTTCACAAAGTAAGCAGTTTCAGCCTAAACCTTTAAAGTCCCCATTATTATTAGCATCTAATGCCATCTTGTAGTCCTTATCGGCTCCCCTGTAGAAGGTGTTTATCAATGTGGCATATGGAAACCCATGGTGGGGGCGTTCCCTGTAGTAATCTTTGAACTGCTCCCAAACTACATGGAATGATTCTATACCAGTCTGCTGGAAGGAGGAGATCTTATTCCTCAGAATGGATGTCATGGATTGGGTGAAATACTGTGATAATAGTGCAGCTTTATAATTTTCCCAGCTTCTCAGATTCTGGACGTTCAAAGATTTCAACCAGCGATGAGCCTTGTCCGCCAAGGAAAATGAGAACAGTTTTGCACTTTATAAGATCATCGGGCACTCTATTCATCCTTGTTGTTCCACATATGTCCTCAAAGTTATCCAAATGATAGACTGGATTTTCTGAGGAAAGGCCATGAAACTGATTCAGCTTCACATAAGACAGTAATCCAGTCTTGATCTCAAAATCAGTCATGTTGATTGGAAGATATTGGTTCCTGTCTCGGAAAATCTCAACATTAGGAGCATCGTGATCTCTCACTGCAGACGAAGAAATCTCTTCCACAAATATCTCAAAAGTCCAATCATGCTGACCTTAGCTAACGTCCTCCGCTGTAACAGCGTTCACCGAATCAGGACTAAGAAGAGGAGGTGCTTCCCAATAGGGTTTGGAGAAATCATCAACGGAGAAGATAGTGGTTATCCCTCTCTTTGTGGCAGAATTTCAGCGGTGGTTGTGAGATTCTACCGTCGCAAAATACATCGGAGATATTGCGATGATGGATCTCACATGAGCCTCAAGCAGGAAATTCTCAATCTCTATGTCAATGAGAAATTGGTTTACGAAAGTGAGTTTTAGAAACATGGATTTGCTAATTCGCTTTGAAATTGCTCATGATAAATAGGATTAACAAAATTCCATTGGAGATTGAATATCAGTTGTAAAGGGATTTAGCCTATTAACCTGTTTTTGTTTTTGGAGATTTGTGAAAGATATGTTTCCAGTTTGCCATAACGCATGTTCAATCTTGGTGCTGAACTTGAAGGCAAAAAGAGAATCAACAACTATTTTGCTTTGAGGTGGATAGAATGAAAAGAAGGGGCACTTGAATATGGAGACTTGGAAATGTTAATATAAGTGTGTGTATTGTTCTATTTTCTCAGGTCTTAGTAATCATCTCGTTGTCTCAGTGTTAATTTCCGTTTATAAGAGTGTATTGTTTATGTAACTTTGTACTATATGACTATAGTAATATATTCACATTTGGCTTGGTTTGCATCGTTTATTGTATGTTATTATTCTTTCCTTTACCCTAATTTCCCCACGTAAATGAAATAAAATGTTTAGCAATTAGAGTACATAACTAGCAAACATTTATAATGCAATTGTATATACGTTTATATTGTACTTTTTTTTTGACTAATTATCAATTACGAAATTGCATGTTATTATCACTATTAATGTGCTTTTAATTGACGAGAACATAACATTTAAATTTTAAACAATTAGTATAATTTTCTCTAGTTGACAATTTTTTGGTAAATAACATTGCATGTACTATACAATTTTCTATGAGTTCAGTATGTACTATTTGTTTTGAACTAATTCGAGAGATTTCTGATTTGTGTTTAGCATCCATCTAAGGTTTAATTTGGTAGACTAGGTTTCATATGTACTATTTCTAAAGACATAACAATTAATTTCTGACATGCGTTTAATTCGGTATTTGGGTTCTTTACATTGTATCTTTTAAGGTATAGCGTTTATTTTTCGATGTACGTTTAACACAAATTTCTGAAAATTTAATATGTTCTTCTTAGTAATAACATTTATGCAGTTACATTTCATTTTACTCTATATAATTTCATTTTATGCAATTCTATTTAGACATAAAAATTTTATCACCCACCTTTTTCATAAACTTATCTGTTTAAAAAACTTAAATCATGATACATTCAGAAAAATATATAGGTTTTTTTCTAAAAGAATCATGACTTTGAATAAATTTATTAAAACAAAGAAAATTGAGTTACAATTAAAAGTAGGTAAAGAAAAAAAATTTCTGTCTCCTACCACCTCATCCTTGAACTCCAACTATGGAGCTTTTTCCTACCTCAGCTGAATGTCTTCATCTCAACACTAGTTTAGTCTTTTCACTTGTTCTTTAGGTTACTTTTTTTTATTACTTTCTTAATATTTTTGAATATAGTGCTATATTCTTAATTTTAAATTGTATTTGTTGAATAAAATAGTAAAATAATAAAATATTAAAATAATTAGAAAATAAGAAGGAGACGAGGGAGAGTATTGAAAGCAAAGAGATCTTTATTATTGACTTGTGTGTATTATTTACAATGAAGTGGACAACTTATTTATACTTGCTTGGAGAACAAGCTCATTTGTGAACAAGTCACTTGGGAAGCAAAGAACTTAGGGAGCAAGTTAGAAAATGAATAATCACATGAGACTTTATCCAATTTAATCTTAATACTCCCCCTTGATTATCCATAATTACGTACTGTCTCATTAAAAACTTTATTATGGAAAAACCCACTAGGATAAAAACCATGAGAATGGAAAAAGAGTACAGTAGCGTAATCTCCCCCTGGAAAAGATAAGTATAATTTTATCTTTGTAAATCTCGTAAATGACGCATTCCAATACTGTGAATATGCTTTTTGAATGTTGACGTAGGAAGCGCCTTTGTAAACAGGTCTGCTGCGTTGTCACTTGAGCGGATATACTGGATATGAACTTCTTTGTTTTTCTCGAGTTCTTGAGTGTAGGAGAAAAACCTTGGAGGGATATGCTTCGTTTGTTCGGTCGCTCTTGATATAACCTTCTTTGATTTGGGCGACGCATGCAGCATTGTCTACGAAATTGTCGGCTCTTTACTGGTGACTATTTCACTTGCTTTTTGTATGTGGTTGGTTATAGATCTGAGCCATATACATTCTCTACAGGCTTCATGAAGCGTAATCATTTCTGCATTGTTTGAAGAGGTGGCGACCAAACTCTATTTCTGAGAACGCCACGAGATTGCAGTTCCTCCAATTGTGAAAACGTATTCAGTTTGGGATCGAGATTTATGCAAATCCGATAAATATCTTGCATCTGCAAAACCAACTAGACCAAACGCAGAGTTTCTAGGATAGAATAATCCTAGGTCAATCGTACCTTGAAGATAGCGGAAGATGTGTTTTATCCCATTTCAATGTCTGTAGGTAGGGGATGAGTTGTATCTCGCAAGTAGATTAATGGAAAATGCAATATCCGGTCAAGTGCAATTTGTAAGATACATAAGTCCACCGATAGCACTCATGTAAGGTACTTCGGGACCAAGTATTTCTTCGTTATCTTCACAAGGTCTGAAAGGATCATTATCAACATTCAGAGACCTATTGACCATTAGAGTACTCAACGGATGTGTTTTATCCATATAAAAACGCTTAATGATCCTTTTGATATAATTTGATTGATGTACAAATACTCCATCTTGGAATTGCTCTATTTGTAGTCCGAGACAAAAATTTGTCTTTCCAAGATCTTTAATTTTGAACTCTTCTTTCATATGAGTTCTTGCATCATCAATCTCTTTTTGAGTTCCAATTATGTTTAAGTCATCAACATATACAGCAATGATCACAAATCCCGATAGAAATTTCTTAATAAAGACGCAAGGGCATATTTCATTATTAATGTACCCTTTCTTTAACAAATAATCACTTAAACGATTACACCACATGCGTCCGGATTGTTTTAAACCGTAAAGTGATCGTTGTAATTTGATCGCACATATTTCATGTAACGCCCTGACCGTCCGTACCAGTGGCCCCCATGTCCTCTCTCAGGCCCATGGGCCCACCTCTGTCCGACGGCTGGTCCGTTACGTCTGGGAGGCTTTAAAGACTTGTTTACCGATCCTACAAATCACCACATGATCTTTCCCTATGTTTTCTCCTCACTCACACAGTTCCGACAATCACTTCCCGGAAAGTCACCCATCCTGAAACTACTCCAGTCCACGCACGCTTAACTGTGGAGTTCTCTCAGGACGGTTGACCAAAAAGATAAGTGCACTTTGGTGACATAGGTGGTCAAATCAATTCTTTTAAACATCTCTGCATGCACCACCATTTTCCTGAAACGAGGGTGTTACATTTCATTAGACTTTGAGTCCAATGCCTCAGGAATTTTAAATCCTTCTGGGATTTTCATATAAATATCATTATTCAATGATCCGTATAGATTTGTTGTGAGTACATCCATAAGGTACATTTCTAAATTATTAGAGACCGCTAGGCTCATTAAGTACCTGAATGTAATTGCATCCATGACCGAATAATATGTTTCTTCATAATCAACTCCAAGTCTTTGAGAAAAACCTTGTGCAACAAGTCGGGCTTTATATCGTGTGATTTCATCTTTCTCATTTCTTTTTTGCACAAATACCCACTTGCACCCAACAGGTTTTACATCTTTAGATGTAGTGACGAGAGATCCAAAGACATCTCTTTTAATGAGGGAGAGCAATTCAATTTGCATTGCAGTTTTCCATTTCTCCCAATCAGGTGTTTGTTAGCATTCTGATATGGACCTTGGATCGGGATCGTCATTTTCATGATCGATCTCTTTAGATACAGAAAAAGAGAATATTCCATTATCATCATCGATTTCATCTCTAGCCCATAATTTTCCATCTCGGGCATAGTTAGTGGAAATCTCATATTTTTCTGTATCGTCCTGAGGATTTTTCTCTTTATTAGGTTCTTCTTGAACCTTTCCATTTTCGTCTCCCATTTTCTTTTTCTTTCGGAGATTTTTATTTTTAGAACCCATTAGCCTCCCGCGTTTCAATTGAACCTTAGGTTCATTAGCTTTTTATTCCCATCGAATTCCTCTTTAGGAATTTCAACTCTTGATGGGACATTTGCAGCGGGAATGTATGATTTTGTCACCCTTTTTGTATTTGTAAACGCATCTGGTAATTGATTTGTCAAATTTTGTAAATGCACAATTTTCTTGACTTCCAGCTCACGTTGATTTGTAGGGGGGATCAAGATATACCAAAGATGGTGTAGATGTAACGCCCCGACCGTCATCTCTCTAAATGGGCCCCACTTCCTCTCTCGACCCGTGGGCCCACCATCTTCCGACAGCCGGTCCGCTACGTCCGAGAGGC